ACTATCCTAAAAAAGTGGACTTATTTCGATAATTTTTTGGAATGGAGATTTGCTAGCCACTAGGAAAGTGTGCGGGATTTGTGGGTGTGATGATGGGAAAGAACTGAGATCGGATATGTTGGTTCTTGGTGTTATTGGGCTATGTGTCATTGAACTGGTACAAGGTCAGCAGTTAAAGCCGGAAAGGACCTCTCGGAGCCCTTCTGACAAGGTGAAAGTTTGTCGTGTGACTTGTTTAACATCCTGTTGGGGAAGGTCATATGAGATGCAAACGAGAAAAGAAATGACACTCTGTACACCAAACAGCATATGTTACTCGCCTATACCGACAACATCGACATAATGGTCGATCATTGCGAGCGGAAACAGTCACCTTTGAACGAATTGAGAAAGATTCTGCAAAAGTTGGACTGGCAGTAATTGGCGAAAAGACCAAACTGATGGTATCAACGCGCAAGACGTCCAGTAGAGTCGGACCAACTGTGGAACTTAAAAACTAAAGCTTTGAGGTAGTAAACGATTTTACGGCCATAAACACGAAACTAATAACATCAGCTTTGAAAACCGGAGAAGAATAGTGTTGGCCAAAAGATGATACTATGGTCTGAGTAAGCAACGCAAAAGCAATGCCACGTCTGGCCAAACCAAGACGCTGATACTACCCGTGTTGTTTTATTGCATCGGGGAGTAAACAAAATTTCGAAACAGATGAACCTAAATACTCGAGATGGTGAAACATTTAAAATACGAAAATCCTTCAAGTGCCGACTATTGGTACACTTACCTTATACAATAGAATGGACAATTTGAACCCACTGGTTTAATGAAATCCGGTACAATGTAAACGTATTATAACAGATCCTAGGTTTGCTAAAAATCTATCCTGGTTAAGATTTTCTTCTATCTTGAAATAACTGGCAATCCCAGCAATTTTTATATGTGTTAAACATATAAGTGCCATTGGCTCACTTAGAGGAAAGGTGTGGAAGTGATAAAAATATAAATTTCATAGATTTTCATTCATGCTTTTCAATTTTATTTTCGTTTGTTGTACAACAACTCTTCATAGTTATAACATGAAATATAGTTTTAAACTTCCACCTATGAACAACAGATCCAAAACCGTTAAAGGACAATTCCTCAATATATATAGACTACTAAATGGCTTGTGTAAACCAATAATAGTACAACGATCAATGTAAACATAGTTATAGCTCAATTTCCATATAAACAATTTCATATAATTTTTGTTTACATTTTTTTATATTTTTTAGTTACGGTTTTTCTAATTTTATTAAATCTTATAAGAACAATTATTTAAAACGACATTAGGTATTTTCCTTCATTTTGTTTTGATACAAATTTAATGCAACACATAATACCATCACTGTTAAGTACCAATTCTTACTACACTGGGTGGTAGTGTATGCATGTGTGTTGTGAACGAGTGTCAGCAACTCGTTACTATTTTTTTTTTTCTGTTTCTCCCTTCAACCATTTGCCAAATATGCCTATATAGGGTTGTCTTGCTCTGGCACACAGTAAATGTCATAATAACAAAACAAATTACAAAACGAGGGGGAGTAACAAGAAGGCAAAATATATACAACGAACGAGCGAACTAACTAACCAACAAAATCATCAATACCAAATCGTCTGTCACTGTGAAGCAGAATTTGTGTACGTCGGTGAGAGAGACCGAAAAAAAAGGAAAAAATATGACAATAAGAAAATTTAGGAAAAGGGATTATAGGAAAATGGATGGAAATCGCTTTTAACAGGAATTCTTATTCAGCATTTTTTCATAGATATGTTTTTGGGGGGATATGGCAACACTACACAACCCCAAATGTTCATAACTCATCGCTTGTGCAAGTGCACAAAAACAAATTGCAAAAAAACACCGGCAACTAAATATTTTAATTTTTTTAAACGTATAATACCATAATTTATAATGGTTACTTTAGATTTTTGAGATGCTCATGATTAAACATGTCCAACAGTCTTATTTCCACTGCCTTTTGCCGTCAAATTGTCTTGCACAAACATGACAAATCATCCGCATGTCAATGGCTGGCTAACTACACACTACTTACCTTCTTCTTCTTCGTACAATCCTTCAATTCTTCTTTCATCAGCTTTTTACGGCCTAGTTCGTTGCTCTTATAATGGACTGATGAACTTTCCTTGTGTCCGTTTGTCGTCTTCGTAGTCTTCAAACAACAAAATTTCAAGCTTAAAACATTGGCAAACACACACAACACACCGTCTATCCAACCATCCAGCAAAAAGAGTAATTATTTTTGACACTTATTCTCCTTCTTCTTGCTTTCTGTTTTATTTTCTTAAGCAGCAGAAAGTAATGGAATCGAATAACTTTATTTTTCTTCTTTTCTTTATTTTGTTTCACTACTGCCAGAAAGAAACTCAAGTTTTATTTTGCCTTTTTGCTTTACTTTTTTTCTTTTGTTTTTTGCAACCACACACAATTATTCTTCTTCTCCTCTATACCGCCGCACACAGTGTCTCACTCACTACACACTACTCTACTCTTTTCTCACACACAATCGAGTGGTATACACAATGTCACTCACACCATCTCACACAGCACAATTCACATTCAGTTGTATGAGTGTGTGTGTGCGTTTTTTGTACCGAAAAAATCCAATTCGTTTTTTCCTCTGCGTTAGCGATTCTCTTTTGTATGGGCTTGGAGAAGAATTGGAATGCAATTTTTCATCAACTGAAAAAAAACTTTTTGCTCTCTTTTTTTGCTGTTTCGGCTTTCACACTGTTACTAAATTCTGTGAACACACGTTTGCTAAACTTTTTTCTATTCCTTTTTGTGTTTGATTTATGAAACGTAAAAACGTTTGGTTGTAAAACTAAATTTGTAATTTTTTTTTCTTTAATTTTAATTTGTAGGCGAACAGGACAGAGAACACTCACTTTGACATTACTCGACGCTTGTATAATCGGTATTAGGGATGACAAGTGAACTTTCGATGAGAGGAGTAATCGAAATCGACGAAGGAAAAGAGAATTTGCAAAGTGACAAGATAACAGCTGATGTGTTACGCTATTGGGAAATAAAGGTGAGTACACACTATTAGTTTGGACTTTTATGTTTTTAATTGATAATAATGTGTTTATACTGTTCAAGATTAACTTAGAGAGATTAACTTAGCGTCTTGTTGAGTGAGTTTGATGTGGCGGGAGGAGTGGCATCAATTGGCCAACACTATCCTTCTCCGAATTTCAAAACTGATGTCATTAGTTTTATTTATGGCGGTAGTAGTTTTCAAATTCCACAGTTGGTCCGAGTCTACTGGACGTCTTGCGCGTTGATACCATCAGCTTGGTCTTCTCGCCATTTACTGCCAGACCCACTTTGCTCGACACATTATGTCGTAGGCGAGTAACCTGTGTTTTTTTGGTGTACAGAGTGCCATTTCTGTTAAAAAGTTCAAACGACAAACTGTCACCTAGTCTGAATCCGAACGAGGATTCAGACAAGGTGCCAGTTAAAATTATCCTACATAGCTGTATTAATTTTTTTTCAGAAACGTCGAACGCAGACATGGTTTTAAGCACCTCTGAAAGGATATGGCTGTCGAATGTGGCTATATAGTCGACGAATAGGTGGAATGTGTCTATGTGTTTTTCGTGGATCTTTTCCAGGATCTGGCACAGAGTGAAAATGTGGTCAATGGGGGATTTGCCAGGTCTGAAGCCGCATTGGTATGGTCTAATAATGTCATATACCATTGGCTTCAGTCGTTCACATACCATACGCTGGATAGCACTTTATATGCGATGGTAAGGAGACTTATTCCTCTATAGTTGGCACATATCGTCTTGCCCCCTTTTTGTGCACGGGACACAGGATGCTGATGTTCCAATCATTAGACATGCATTCCTCTAGCCAAATTGTACTAATAAGCTGGTGAATGCTCCTGACGAGCATCTGAATAGTCCGATTAATTGCTACTCTGACCTCATCTTGGCTAGGTGGTATACACTATTTGATACCAGAAGCTTTTCAAAATGCTCTATAGATTCGATTTGAATGGCAATAGGGACTTTTCGACTGTACCTTCTAAAACAAGTAAATATTTTTAAGCCTTTGAAATCAACAAAGCGTCAAACACAGCTTTTTACCGGATAATAAAATAACTAAAATAAACATGAATTAAATGCACGAGAAAAAGTTTATTCTTTTTATATAATGTTGGAAAGAATAATATTTTACATATTTATTTGATTTTTCTTAATTGGCCAAATAAAGATCGCGAAGCCAGAACAAATAGTGTTTGTCACTTTCAACAATCAATCCATCGACACCTATTATGAAATGAGATAAATAATAATTATATAAAAATTTATTTAAATTCATGTAACAATTGGCAAACTTACCGACAGGCGACATATATTTCTGAGATGGCTTATTGTCTTTATTGGGAACCTCGGGTAGAATATATATTAACCAAAATACATTGCTAAAATTATAAAAAAATGTAAAATAAATCATATTAATTATTATTTAAAAAAATATATATTTCTCGGTTTTCCCATGGCATAATTAAAGAAGGTAGTCTCATTTGACAATTTTATGATGGCAACCCTTTTTAATATCGAATTCATATATCAATTTCAAATAAAATGAAAAATAAATTCCAAAATTATGGCCATGTACAATTATTACAGCAACCAAGGTCTATTAAAAAGGTCACGAAGATAGGCCAGCTGGATATCAGCTGTTTCTCAAGTTTGCTATCAAAATCCATTATTGTGATTTGATTTCCATTAAGACAAAAGACAAGACAAAAATTGATGCTGATTGACCCTATTAATAGATCTTGACAGCAACTATAACGGTTTGATACATTAGCAAATCCATTGTTTACCCTAAAACAACACTTGTGTAAACAACGTGTTACTAAACTTCAAGCTATATTTACTTTCACTTATTTGATCTCAATGAAATTTACTTACCCCTCAACATTTTCCGACTTTCCAGCAATTTCAGTGATATAATGACCCCATGATGTATTCTTATATTTAAAATCAAATCTAAAAAATGTATAAATTATTTTTAAATTTTTAAAAATGTTCATAAAACCTTATAAAAATAACTCACACAGGATCTCTTTCAGCCGCCTGATTCATGGCATCAAAGAAATTGGAATTTTTCGGCGATGTCAGGGTAATGTTAAATTCTTCCGATACCGATGAACCAATCCACAGAGTATAGGTATATGAGACATTGTCACTATCACCATTATTATCCTTTGCCTCAATTCCGTTGGTCATGGCAATATTTATCAATTGCAATGCCATGAAAATTACAATTGGCAAGCGCCAATATTGTCCGTTACGTTGTTGAGTCATCTTGCAATTTTTTTTACAAATGATAAGACAAATAATGGTACGTTTGGTCTTTATATTGTGGCCTAGAATTGCGTTGTGTGGTGAAGTAATTTTGTAGTTCTTTCTTATATGTAATTAGATAAACCATTTCTTAGAATTCGAACAAGTACTTCTGCTTATCATTCAGAGTGTGGGAAAAATAAATTTATAGTATTTATAATGTGGTCGTTTTTTTACAAGAGCAAAAAGAAAGCCGGAATTGCCAAAGAGTACACAATATAAAAAAAACTTTCTACGAATCAAAATACTTATTTTGTTTATGTTTGCATATTGTCCAATTAAAATTTAAAATTAAATTGAAAAATATTCAAATTTAATTGAAATGAAATAAACACAACCACTCTTTGTGTATTTTTTTATATTTGACAGAAGAAGCTACTACTTACAGAGTTGCTTTTCTGTTATTCACCTCAAGTTATTCTATCTTTGATTTCAACGTAATAGTACGTTTACATTGTAACAGATTTCGTTAATCCAGTGGGTTTAAATTGTCAATTCCAATGTATATATGTCAATAAATCCCCATAAAGTAGGTTTACCCGGTAAAAAGTTCTGATGTAAATGCTGTTTAATACTCGTCTCATACGAGCCCATAATCTTCAATATTTTGTCTGTTCCCGTACTGCAAGAATCTACTACTTTTTACTACGATAACTAATTTTCCTTTATGGAATCGAAGAAAATAGTCAATATTGAATAAAAGCCAGTGCGGATATATGGTGGCTATCGTAAAGGGTAAACCAATATTGATAAATTTTTGTAGAAAGATTTGCTATCCTATTGGAATTCAAAGTATCAAAATATCGAATATGGGGGCTACTTAAAATTCTTTGTAGGAAGATGCGCCATTAAAAAAATCACATGTTATATATACACCAATCAGCACCTATAGTAACTTATGATACCTTACTTACTTAGTTGTCTTGTGGCAGAACGATTATTCCGTGGCCTTCCCCTTCTGCATGAAACGTTAGTTGGCTGGCTTTTATACGTCTTTTGAGCTGGGGCATACTCATCCATTCTCACAACATGCCCTAGCCAACGTAGTCGCTGCAAATCGCTACATCTGACTATGTCGATGTCCGAGAATAAATGGTACAAAACTGGTTCATTTGACGGCGATATTCACCGTCGACGCAGATCGGCCCATAGATCTTTCGAATAATTTTTCTCTAAAATACTCCAAGAACTGACTCATCTGCTTGCACAAGTACCCATGCCTCAGATCTATACAACAGCATGGGTAGTATCAGTGTCTTGTAGAGCGTGAGTTTGGTCTGACAGGAGCTGGCTTTGTTTCTAAACTGCTTACATAGACCATAGTAGCATCTTTTGGCCAACACTATCCTTCTTCGAGGTTCAAAACTGATGTCATTATTTTTATTTATGGCGGTACCGAGGTATATAAACTCATTGACTAACTCGAAGTTGTAGATTTCAAGTTTCACAGTTGGCCCGAGTCTACTGGACGTCTTGTGCGTTGATACCATCATTTTGGCCATTTATCATTCATTGTCATTTCCACTTTGGCAGACTCCTTCTCAATTTGTACAAAGGTGCCTGTTACCGCTCGCAACCTTCTGTTCACATTTGCATCTCGTATGACCTTTTCCAGCAAGATGTTCAAAAAAGGTCTCACGACAAACTGTCACCTTGTCTAAATCCTCGTTCGGTTTTGCAGGAATCCGATAGGTCCTTTCCCACTTAAACTGCTGACCTTGTGTCACTTAAAGTTATCTTGCATACCCGCATTCATTTTGCAGGAATGTCGAATGCAGCCATGGCTTTAGGAACTTCTGAGCGGTCGAATGCACAAAGCCGCATCGGCGAATAGGTGGATTGTGTCGATATATTTTTCGTTGGTCATTTCCAAGTATGGTTCAGTATGGTCCAATAATGTCATTAACCATTGGCTTTAGTCCTTCACACAGCACGCTGGATAGCACTTTGTATGCGATGTCTGTTTTTTTGTGAACGGGACACAGGATGCTGAGGTTCCAATCATTGGCCATGAATTACTCTTTCCAAATTGTACTAATCAGCATCTGACCACCGGCCTTGAATAGTTCAGCTGGTAACCCATCGGCACTTGCTTTTTTTTATTCTTCAACCGATTATTTCCTATTCTGACCTCACCTTGGCTAGGTGGCAAACAATCTGTACCGTCATCTCTTATTGGTTCTGGGGTATCTTATTCACCGTTACTATTTGCATATTCCTAATATTTTGTTTATTCGGTCTTTTGCTCTCCCTCATAAAAAAATATATATTCGGCCGTATTGCTGCCTTCCTGAAGCAACCGAATTTTATCGAGATTTATTATCATTAATCGATATTTATATAAACTCAACAATTTTTATCGGCCATCGATTTGTTGTCATCACTAGCACCGGTGTTACGTGCATTTATTTTTTGTTATTATTATTTTTTAACACTTAAATAAAGTAAAATATTGAATAAAAACCATACACAATGAAATCGAAATACATTGGAGCTGGTGGCAGTAAAAAGGCCTTTGTTGCTGCTGGTGCCACAACCTTGGGTTTATTCCTATTCAACTATGTACCCAACACCTTCGGTCTGGAATACTACAAGAACTTTCTGCAATGCTATAAAAGTGGAGAACCTGTAAAAATTTCACCAAAGCTGTTGGCAAGATTCGAGAAGGCCAAAGAAATATGTGGTTTGGAAAACCATGAAATGTCTTTGGTCAAACCTTTCTCGGTATTTGGTTTTGAAGTATCGCTGGTGGGATGTACGAAGACACGCTTTGGTGCCATTGTGGGTATACCGGCCAATTTCGAATATGACAGTGTCAACGATATCAAACGCAGTGAAATACGTTTTCGTGATCAAGCCATTGATTGGAAATCGGAAAGTGGTAAATTCCTAGAGCAGGCACTCATTCTAAGCGAAGAGGAGCAAATTTTTGCATTTTGTAAAGCCCTGCTGCAGGCCAAGACACATTATGTTCTAATGAATTCGTTGTTTCCATCGCTATCGTTTTTAACTGTATACACCGTGGGTAGTTATTTGAATTCAAGTCTGGGTCTTTTGGCCCGACCATTCAGTTTACGCTTGGTTATGTATACAATATTGGGTTTATTTGGTTTGGGTACATGGTGTTTCATGAAAGATTTCAATCAAGTCACAATGGATGCGGATATTGACAAGGAAATGGCTGAGAAAGGTGAAAAGTTTGTACAGGCTGGTATTAGCTATTACGATAAACAGTTGAAGAAGAATATTGCCTTGAGAAATCTGCTGAAAGATGATACCTTTACGGCAAATGGTAATGTTAATTATTTATTGCGTCAAGAATCACTGCCATTGACAATTCGTAAATCGTATTTTGAGGAAAAATTGCAAGAGAATGTGGCTGCAATGAATTAAGATTTACATATGTTCATATACTGTAATAATACTATGTAACATTTTGAAATCGATTGAAAGGAAAAAATGGATGATTCAAATTGCTAATTCAAGGAATTAGTTATAGGTTTTCAAGAGGTATTATTCGAAATATAACTTCTTGAATGTTGCATAGTATTTATTATGCATTGTTTATAGGTCCTTAGTAGTAAAAATTGTATTTTTATTAATTATTAAATCCTGTGAAATTTCAATAAAGTTGTTGACTATTAATGTATCTCGATTATGAATTTCACTTTTTTTGGTTTTATTTAAATTCGTTAATCAAACAAATAAACAGAGGACTGATATTTCTCTGGTCGGAGGAAATGATCGAGTGCCTATGATTCCAAGAGGCGGGAATGGCACCCCTAAATATTCACTTCTCAGGTCTTAGATCAGATTCTTCTTGGAAATGAACACTGGCGATCAAAGAACTGATATTTTTAAGCATAAAAGACGTGGATTTTATAAATTAGGCCTATATAAGGCGTGTAATTATTAGAAACTATTTTTAAATACAAAAAAAGTGGGGATTTTTTAAATCATTTTTTTCAAGGCCTAAATATGACGTGGATTTTTTAAATAATTTTTTCAAGGCCTAAATAAGGCGTGGATTTTTTAAATAATTTGTTCAAGGGGTGGATTTAAAAAAAATCAAGGCTAAATAAGGCTTGGACTCCTCAAAAAAATGATAAAATACCTGGCGAGTATTAAGGTCCCATATCTATCTTCACGTCGTGTTCGAGACTTCTGAGGCAACTGGCCGTTGAAGTAGAGACTGTTACTGATGACCCTTCCATCGGAAATATGGATGAATCATGAGCACGATAAACTACCGTTTCCACGACAGAGAGGTCTACGAGCGGCAATACCCGAGTCTTTCTCGTCCAACGTCTGTCACCTCAGCCCATTGTATACAAGCAGTAGGGCTGCTACAACAACAACCAAACACGTTCGTTTCCAAAACAGAGGGGCCTACGAGCCCAAACGACCCGATTCTCCCTCAGCCAACGTCTGTCACCTCAGCCCATTGTGTAAAAGCAATAGGGCTGCTACAACAACAACCAAACACCTCAGTGCCAAATAAATCTCTGACAAAGAGATTAACGAAGAGCAGTTAACTTCTATAACAGGTTTATCGAACGGGATAGTTTCGAGAGATAGTTTCGAGAGAACTTCCGTAGGTAATATAATCCCTATTACTTACGGAAGTTCTCTCGAAACTATCCGAATGATATTGCGAGGGGCTTCCTCGCAATTCAATTCTGGTACTAATAGAATGAAGTCCCTCTTCTAATGGAGGAGAAGACTTCGTGTAGTCTGAGCACAACCGGGACAAGTTTGGCGGTGACTTCTGACCACTCAGCAATCTCTAAGGGATCTCTGAGATCTTGAGATGTCCTGTACACCATGCTTCACTGGGAATGAGGATAAGGTAGTCCTGAAGTTGACCCAAAAGAGAGTCCATACAGCTAAAAACAACCCTCCTCTGAGTAAATAAACAATTCTACTAACTCGCCTGCTGCTGAATTGCCAAAACTCAAATCCAGGAGAATCCTGACAAGAGCGGTAAGGGTGAGGTGAAAGCCAAATACGTCGCCTCGAAGCAGAAAGCTCAATCACGGGTTCATGAAGATTTGCGAATGGCGATCATGGCCTGACGGGTGTATCAGCGAAGATCACTTCTTGCAAGTCGACAGATAAAAGAAGGACCTCTTCCTGAAGGATGAATTTGATCGTCGGAATCTTCGGTTCGGCCAGATCACCTTGCATAAAGGGTTCAGGGTTGTGAATTATCGACATAAGGTGTCCTCGCACTTCTTTAAGAGCACAATTAACAACATTGATCCCCTTTGGGATGTTAGCGAGCTGGCAGCCATTGCGGTTCCACGAGATTCTGAGCTGGATGGTGACATCAGTGTGAATCCCACCACCACTTAAGGGACTGGAGAAAACTTTGAGGTTGATTAAAAAACAGAACGACGGGTTTCAATTGAACAAATGGAGAATACTCACCAAATTCATGAGAAGTTATATGAAATACTTCTCTAGTATGAAATCCTTTCATAGCACCATGAGTATATAAAACAATAGGAAAAAATACAATTGGGACCTCTAGGTGAATATCAGGATGCTATTAATTTAGTCTGCAAGGTCAATAGTTTTAATTTTCATACCCTGAACTCGAGACGTCATCTTAGATCCTAATAATTCCTATGTCGATAATTCCAAAATAAATCGTAGCCTTAAAAACTCTGGCAGGCAACTTTCGGCATAAAGATAAGGAAACCTTCTCCCAAGGCTAAAAACATGGTCATCGATCTTCAGTCCTTAAAAATGCTTCTACAGTATGAACATCTTTTCAAAGCTCCATTCAGTAAAGAACTTTAAAAAATGCAATCCGATAACAGATCACAGGTGCCTTCATGATGTCATAATATCGATCGAGATCATAAAATCTAAATGCATTAAAATTATTTATTCATTTTGAACGGAGAGTGAGAATGGGATGTTTATATTTTTATAAAAATAGCCTTTTGGGAGGGAGCCTTACAGACTTTCTATTAGAAAGCCTTACTGGCCGTCTACAAGAAATTCTTCTGTGCTACTATAAGAAGAAATTACTCTTCTGGCCTTCTTTATATTTGTCTTTTATGTCTTCTATAAAAAACTTCTGCATTATGGGCAGCTCTAATAAGATCATTTTGTCTACTACAAAAAGGATTTATAGGTCTTTTATTAAAAGGGTATCTTCTGCACCGCTATGAGAATACACTACCGGGTTTTCCATAAAAATAAAATCCTTCTGGATTGATATGAAAATACATTAAATTAAAAACCATCTGGTTTTCTATTTTTGGTAACTCTAAAGATCTAGAAGAAAGAGCTTTATGTCTCCACATTGAATGAAGAATATTTTTGTAAAACATATCCTTCTTCGATCTCTAGTCCTTTTTCTTTCTACTATTCTTGAAGCGTAAACTAAATACCACAATACGAGATTTTTTGTCCTGCAAATAGTCTACAAAAATGTGGTCCATATATTTACGATAGGATCTTCATAGAAAAGGAATCGATATTCATATATTTTCATCGTCCTTTTCACCTTTTACTCGAAACTTTGCTCAGAAAATCCCAATATTTTTGCAGAGTGTTGATATTGATTTTGTATATAGGTTTCAAATAAAATTTAAAACAAAATAATAAAATTTTTGCACGACTTGACAACAATATATGCAAGATCATGTATGTCACATTTGAATACAAACATATTTATTTTTGAGAAAAAAAAATAATGAAATAACGAAGACTGATTAAGTACATCATTATGACTTTCGTTGACGTCGTAATTTTTCACGATCTTTGGACTTTTTTGTCGTACGTTTAAATGGAAGATTCTACTTGTGCGGTCAACAGAACCTGGACAGTCAAATGCGACGAATTCGTCGCACTTTACATACAAACGCAACGATTTGATAATACGAGAGAATTTCAATAGCAGATCCCTTTCTAGACAATATTAATTAAATACATAAGTATGTTTGTATATTAAATTGTTATTGGCGTTTGTTTAATTTTCAGAATATTAAATGTGTATATAAATATATGTATGTACATGTTTGTATATAATAAAAATTTGTGCTTATCAATTTCAATGAAAGTGTTTTCTTTTTCGTATTATTTTTTGCGGTGAAATTTAAATTCGGGGTTTTTGTTCGTTATCAAATTTATTTATTATTTTTTTCGTTGGAATTTTCATTCTGGTACTTTCAAATTTCTTGTTGACAACCTTGGCTTTGGGTGAAGCCCAAATGCACTGAACTTTTGCTGATGCAATAGAAATGGCATTGTCCCAGGGTCATCAATTCATTCGAATTTCAATATTTATTTTGCTATGTGGAATTATTGATTTACATACATATAGACCGGCAAATAATAAAAATATTTATACATATGTACATATAGAAAAAATTATATGTCAAAGAGTAATTGGACGAATTTTTAGAAGACCATCAAGGTGTGGATTTATTAAAAATAATTTTCTTTAAAGACCATCAAGTCAAAAATTAATTAAATACCCTCAGGTCGAAAATTTATTAAAAAATATTTTCCTATAGACCATCAAGGCGTGGATTTATTAAAGAATATTTTTCCAAAGACCATCAAGGCGTGGATTTATTAAAGAATATTTTTCCAAAGACCATCAAGGCGTGGATTTATTAAAGAATATTTTTCCAAAGACCATCAAGGCGTGGATTTATTAAAGAATATTTTTCCAAAGACCATCAAGGCGTGGATTTATTAAAGAATATTTTTCCAAAGACCATCAAGGCGTGGATTTATTAAAGAATATTTTTCCAAAGACCATCAAGGCGTGGATTTATTAAAGAATATTTTTCCAAAGACCATCAAGGCGTGGATTTATTAAAGAATATTTTTCCAAAGACCATCAAGGCGTGGATTTATTAAAGAATATTTTTCCAAAGACCATCAAGGCGTGGATTTATTAAAGAATATTTTTCCAAAGACCATCAAGGCGTGGATTTATTAAAGAATATTTTTCCAAAGACCATCAAGGCGTGGATTTATTAAAGAATATTTTTCCAAAGACCATCAAGGCGTGGATTTATTAAAGAATATTTTTCCAAAGACCATCAAGGCGTGGATTTATTAAAGAATATTTTTCCAAAGACCATCAAGGCGTGGATTTATTAAAGAATATTTTTCCAAAGACCATCAAGGCGTGGATTTATTAAAGAATATTTTTCCAAAGACCATCAAGGCGTGGATTTATTAAAGAATATTTTTCCAAAGACCATCAAGGCGTGGATTTATTAAAGAATATTTTTCCAAAGACCATCAAGGCGTGGATTTATTAAAGAATATTTTTCCAAAGACCATCAAGGCGTGGATTTATTAAAGAATATTTTTCCAAAGACCATCAAGGCGTGGATTTATTAAAGAATATTTTTCCAGGG